TATTGATCTTGACAATTCAACCATTGACTTTGTCTACTTAAAAATGGGTTTGTAACAACTGCACCCTATCCTCCACCACCACTGCAAACACCACCACTGCAAACACCACCACCATTACCGCAGTACCGCACACTCCCAGAACTCCAACTAAGCAGGTTGGAGGAAGAAACCAACCCAAAACATACATATCGCTGCAACACCACCTCTACCACAGCCAATAGCATCATCACACACACATCATACCGATCACCACCACATAGATTCACACATGACCACGCACCACCGTACACCACAAATCGTTGCACCGCATACCACAGATCGGCGTACCACACGCCATAGATTGTTGCACCACTGCACGTTGGAGAAGGACATTAAATGGGAGAATAACATTTCTAAGGGCATCGGTGGAGTCACAATAAATATGGTAGTCTTTGATGGCGGTGACGGTTCATGTATGAGTGATGGGGTAGAGAGAGACAGGAGAGGAAGATGAAGAAATATGAGATGTTTTTGGGGTTTGAATGGGTTTGGGTATGAATATATAAATTCATTTATAATATTAAAATTTTCAATTATCTGATTTTAGAAAAAAAAAACTTGTAAATCTTAATTTTAAATTGGAAAGTTTAAAACTCCGATTATTTGTAATTTTCACTTTAATTAATTAGATTAATTAAATATTGTATATGGTTAAGTTTAATAGACGAACCAAACCTATTTGGACTTATTTTAATGAGTTATTAGAGTTTGAGAAATAAACAAGACAATTCATTATCTTGCTAGCACAAGAAAATAAAAACCATATTCTCGCATTTTTGTTCTCTGTGTGGATTTCATTAAATGTTGGACAGTTAGACAATTGTGGATTGCAAATCGTGATTGTTGGTGTTCAAAATAAGCAAAGGGGTTGCAGGATTCAACAAATGTATAATTCATATTAGAGTTTCTTTCTAAACACGAAGGAAATTTTTTGTGGAAATTGAGATATTATTTAAATTCCGTTATGCATATTAAGTAAATTCTCAACAAATATGAAACTACGGCTGAACCATCTTTAGAATCGTACCAAACCCGAATTGTCCAGTATTTAGTAAGTATAACCATCTTGTTCAAACCTTTCAGTACAATTCGATTCTATATCATAATTAATTTTTTTAACATTTACAACAACATTACATTAATCCAACTAATAATATGTTTAATTTTAACTCTTACAAGATAACACAGTCTAAGTTAAAAATATACAAATAACAAATAGTCTAATAAGATCCAGTTACCAATATATACAAATTACCAAAAAATAAATAATAGCATTAAAACATCGATAATTCTATCACATTGATTCATTTGATTCAAACCTTCAAATCTACATTAAAAAAAAAATGAAATATAATAAATTAAAAGTTAAAGAAATAAAATATTTTGAAGTATTGCTAGTACGTAAGTCAATCAATTTTGATTATTTCAAATTTGAATTACAAAGTTGGTTTTATGCTGAAAATAGAAAAATGATATTTTTGGCTCAAATAATTAGTTGGCAAATGAAACGTGAAAATTATACTTCTGGTCTCTATAAATTAGTTGACAATTTTGTTTAGAAAAAAATTAAAATAATTTGACTTATTTAATATAATTTTTTTTAAAAAAATTAGGGAGATTTGATTCTTATTCGATTTTTCGGTTCTTGATCTAATTACGAGAATACGACCAAGTTTGTTAGTTCCCGATTTTGATATCCATTCAAGTTCGGTTTAATTCGAGAAGTTTTGTCCGATACTTTTAAATCATGTATCCTTCAAAAAAATATATATATTTTTTAAAAAAAAATTATTCTAAAAAATGGCTCAATGCCGGGGCTTATTACCAACCAACTTCTATGGGATAATTACATAAAACCAGCTGTTTAGTTTTATGTTTCTGAAAATCAGATTTTAGCTTTATTTAATAAAAAACCAGGTTTTATCATTTTTAATTTATAATTATATTATAAAATTAAAATAACATTTGTACACACCCTACTACCTACCCCCACCAAATTTATATAAAACCTAAATCTATCCAAACTCTAACCTAATCCAATTCATTTTTCTTCTCTCTCCCCCGTTGCCGCCACCGCCACCACCTCTCTCCACAGTCACCGGAGCCGCCTCCTCCTCCCATCTCTTCTCCTTTCTTCCTCCCCTCCCTCCCCCTCTAGGCCGCGCGATGCTGCTGCGACACCCACAGCTTGCTTTTATAGTATATGTATATTATATGCCCATACAATCTGCTGCTGAAGAAAGTCAAAAAATGCATCTGTTCACACATACTCGCTTTTATAGTATATGTATATTATATCAACCACAACACTTCTTATTTATGCAGTTTTGGATTTTTTCTTACAAGATTTTTAGGTACTGATGGAATCTTGCATGAAATAGATGAGAAAGAAACCAGATTGCTCATTTTTGTGTTCAAGAAAGGAAAGTGTTTTAGGCTTTATTACAAAGAAAAATACATGAATTTAATTTTTATTGATAATATTGAAATTTTAATATTTAATTGAATTATGTTGTTGTGTCGGGGTCAGCGGTGGTGATTTTTTTTTGGCGTCTGTGACCTAGCTATTGAACTGTGGTGGTTTTTTTTGGTGTCTGTGACCTCACTATTGAACTGTGGTGATTTTTTCTGGTGTCTGTGACCTCGCTATTTAACTGTGGTGGTTTTTTTTTGAGTCTGTGACTTCGCTATTGAACTGTGGTGGTTTTTTCTGGTGTCTATGACCTAACTAGTGCCTGTGATCTAGTTATTGAACTGTGGTGGCTTTTTTTGGGTGTTTGTAACCTCGCTATTGAACTGTGGTGTTTTTTCTGGTGTTTGTGACCTAGCCAGTGTCTGTGACCTCACTATTGAACCTTGGTGGTTTTTTTTTTGTGTCTGTGATCTTGCTATTGAACTGTGACTTTAAAATTGATAATTTTTAACTAAAAAAAGAATCTGTGACCAATAAATTTGAAAATACGTGATATGTGACATATAAATTTTTTGATCTTTGACCAATAAAATAATATGTGACTTATAAAATTTTAGATTTGTAATCTCGAAATAATTTGTGACCTACAAAATNGCCGGAGAATAGTTGCTGGAGTAATCGTCTGTCGTCAGAATAATCGCCGAAGTGGTGGTGGTGGAGGTGGGGTGGAGTATTTTATATTACAGTTAAATATTTAATTTAATAGATTAATTGTAAAATAGAATTAATTAATTCATGAAAAAAACTTGAGTTTTATAAATTTAAACCTTGAGACCTGATTTTTAATTTTGGGACATATAAAACCTAAGTTATGAACTTTTCCCAACCTCTATTTGCAAATTTTTAATTTTTTTACTCTATTTATTAACCAAATAATCCAAGAACCCAGTTACAGCCCAATAGTTATCAGACAAAACAATTTCCTTCCTTGGTTAAAAGAGTCCAACTGTACATCCAAGTTCACGTGTCCTTCAAATGAACCATTCATCGCTCCAACAATGTTCGTATTTGAAAATCTTCGCGAGTGAATTACACTTGCGCGTGAAGTACTTGTTACTACACATCGATTATTTCAAAATAGACGCTCCCAGACTACACTATACGACAGCGCAATTTAGCAGACAGACGTAGACCGAACGCTACTCTCAAAACACTCCAGTTCCCGGTATAAAATACCAAATTAATATTAGTATTATGACCGTAATATTTCAAGACAATTATTTATAGCCACAATTTTGTTTATCGAAAAACCAATTTTTTTAATATTAAATTCTGATTAAAAAAAATGATAAAATATATTGTTAAAAAGTTGATAAGCTGCGAATCTTATAAGATATATAATTAAAATTAATTTTTAATTAATTTTTATCAACTTTTTTAGTTAAACCAAACGGAACATAGTATTTCAAATTTTTCGACTTTTCATATTTGTTTTCTGTAAAATAAATGCAAAAGCAGTTCGTTTAGCTATAAGCCAAGCGGAACATAATTATGACTATTACTTTGATAATTTTGTTTTAAGATTAAGGTCCCGTTTGATCAAAATTATTTTTTCATTATTATTCTTATATTCATTTTTAATTGTACATTTTTCAATAAAATAATATTTTTCATCACATCAATAAATTTTCCTTCTTTTTCAACTACATATTCCTCACCACATCAACAGTAAAAATGCATTCTTTTTTCAAAAAATGTGCACCAAACAAATTTTTTTTTATAAAGTTTTTGCATGTTTCAATAAAAAGTAATGAAATATATTATTAAAAAGTTAATAAAGTTGTGAATTCCATAAGTTGAAACTGAATTTAAGAAAAAATAAATTTTAAAAATCTTTTCCCTGTAAAACATTTCTTTCCACCCATTTTCCACCCTTACAATCAAACGCACCCTTACTATTATGACCATAATATTTCAAGACAATTATTTATAGCCACAATTTTGTTTATCGAAAAACCAATTTTTTTTATATTAAATTCTGATTAAAAAAATGATAAAATATATTGTTAAAAAGTTGATAAGCTGCGAATCTTATAAGATATATAATTAAAATTAATTTTTATTAACTTTTTTAGTTAAACCAAACGGAACATAGTATTTCAAATTTTTCGACTTTTCATATTTGTTTTCTGTAAAATAAATGCAAAAGCAGTTCGTTTAGCTAAGCCAAGCGGAACATAATTATGACTATTACGTTGATAATTTTGTTTTAAGATTAAGGCCCTGTTTGATCAAAATTATTTTTTCATTATTATTCTTATATTCATTTTTAATTACACATTTTTCAATAAAATAATATTTTTCATTACATCAATAAATTTTCTTTCTTTTTCAACTACATATTCCTCACCACATCAACAGTAAAAATACATTCTTTTTTCAAAAAATGTGCACCAAACAAATTTTTTTATAAAGTTTTTGCATGTTTCAATAAAAAGTAATGAAATATATTATTAAAAAGTTAATAAAGTTGTGAATTCCATGAGTTGAAAGTGAATTTAAGAAAAAATAAATTTTAGAAATTACCTGCCAAACAAGGACTAAAATAGTAAAATATTGATTTCCAAGTTGTAAGTATTATTTGTTCTAATTGAAAGATTAATGCTTTTGTTTTGTTTATTAATTTGAACTCATTAAAATTATAATTTTTTTTTTCATACGTTTTTAAATAAAATAATATCTCATGTAAACCTAAAACTATAATTTCAAAAAAAATGTTATTTGTACACACTGGATATACAACTCTTTCACATGCGTGTAGGGTCCACACCCCCACACATATATGAGAGGATTGTATATCAAGTTGTGTAAGTGTAGCAGGTTACTAATCTCAAATAACGGGGCAACAAACTGGCATGTTGACTAAAAATTATCAGTGCGCTGGCGCATGGGGTTCTTCAACATTGTCCCATTGGACCCATTCCGTCTTATCCTACACCTGCAATTCACCCACTTCACTATACAGTGAAAAGAAGAGAAAAACCACTGTGACAGAGCGGCCGTTTTCACTGCACATCTTTTTCAGCTACCATTGACAGAAGAACAAAACCCAGTTAAGCTTCATTTTCATTTTCTTGGATTCCCCAAAAAGAGAGAAAAGACTTCTATTCTTGTAGAATGTATTGTATTAATATTACCAGGAATCTTCATTTCAAGTGTTTTCAGATGATTATGCTTTTTTGACATTGATTTGATAATCACTCCACAAACAAAATACAATCTTTCTTTACTTCTTTTTCGCTCTCTGTGCATCTACCGTCTGTTTCCAGACACAAATATTTGAATAGTATCTCATGCGTGGCATGAGCTGAATAATATACTACTATTACAAATTATTTTTGCCATATTTTTCTACTTCTAACTGGCTTTTCTTGTCAAAGTGCTTGCGCATGGCCACAGCCTTGTTCATTTTGGGTAATTTTTCCAACACCTTTCGACTCTGTTTCTTGTTAGAGAAAAAAGACGCGACTGTTAAAAGGAGAAATTCTTTTGGGATTACTATTGAGCATTTTGTTTAAAAGGGTAATCGAGTTCTTTTTTCTTTTGTTGCCTTTGAACAAAAATGCTTGGTTCTGTGGGGAAGAGATAAATTGGTTCAAGAAGTGCATTTTGGGAGAACATTCATTTTTGTTGGAGAAATGAACGACAGATTGGAAAAAACAGCTTCGTCTTTGGCTATTGTAGAGAAAAAGCCTCAAAAACTAGGTGGATGTGTGGGTATTTTCTTTCAGCTCTTTGATTGGAACCGTAGATTTGCAAAAAAGAAGCTCTTTTCCAAGAAATTGCTCCCACCAGGTATATTTTTTGCCATAGTTTTCTGTCTTTGTTTTTATCAATTTGGCGAAAGGTATTGGCACAATATTGGAAATCATGTTGAAAATCTGGTTTTTATGTTGCATTTTTCTCAGTTCGCTTGAAACAAGCTTCAAAGAAATTTGGTGGAGATGAGAATCAGGCAAAGCTTCGTTTGGTACGCATTTTGTTTCTATTTCTGCATGCTAAATTATTATCTCTGTTCAATAAAGCATACAGAATTATATGCTTGGGATGTTTCTTGATTTTGTGTGAATGATATAGATTGCTGATGAGAATAGTGGGGGATTTCCTAGCTCAAGGAAAAAAAGTGGGGTTAGTAATGTTGATCCTGAGCAAAAACATGAAATGCGAGCTCCGGGTTTGGTTGCTAGGCTTATGGGTCTGGAATCCATGCCGGCATTGCAGACAGTGAAGTCTAAGAAAGGACCGCTTTCTGGAAATAGGAATGATAAAGCAGAGAAAATCGAGGATAAATTTTGTGGATACGTGAGCAATGAAGTGAATGTAGAAAAAGTAGGGAGTAAAAATGAACCGAGGCCTCGAAAGCTTCAGAAGACCGGGTTGTGTGAGAGGCTGCCAGTGGCTAGATTGGGGACCGAGGGACTGCAGTTTAAGAACGTCTTATCAAGATCAAGAAAGCATCATCCAAAACTTACCTCTCCGGTGAAAAGTCCCAGAAATCCCTCGGGGAAAAATGCATCTCGATTAATTGGTGCAGCAACTAGAATTCTGGAACCTGGATTGGCAAGGAGTAGGTCAAAACGTGCCATTGCATATTCAAATACCTCGCATAATTCTTCTAAAGGAGATACTGTTTTGGGGGAATCAGCTGTTCTGTTAACAAGCGAAGTGGACGGTTCTAAATATTTTGTTACTCAGCAGCCAAAGGTGCAATCTTCTTGCAGAACTTGTGGCCATTTGCTAGATAAGTTGGATTCTGAACCAAGTGTAGATGATCGGCCGGTGGTTTTTACTTCTCAGATCTCGCATCGTGTTGAACCCTCTTGTCAAATGTCAGAAAGGAGCAGGCCTGGAATCCCCACATGTAAGGAGGTTCTGGAGGAATGCCCATTAACTGCAGGTTCAACCATGGAAAATTTTCAACCTTGTGGTAAATTTTCATCAAATAGGAATCCTTTAATTGGAGAAGCTAGGTGGCATTTGGGAACCCATCAGTACAAGCCTCTGAAGGATATGCCTCTCTCTGATGGTTTTAGGTACAAGTCTCAGAGCCAAAATCAGATGTTGCGGACCAGAAATAGAGTTCCTCCAAGGTCAAAGTACAATGGTCTATCGGGCAACAAAGCATCAGCATCAGCATCAAATGATATAGATGAGACAAAGGATTTTGTTTTTCCTTATCGAAGCTTAAGTGGTCATACAAAACCGGGGCTCTCCACCAGAGCTGGTAATGGCAAATTTGAAATGAGGAGAGCTGGTTACGTGCAGAATGATTCCATATTACCAGCGCAAAAGAGAAGGCCAATTAATATCGCTAGAGAAAGTGCAAGTCCTGGTTTCACAAGTTCTTTTAACAAACAATCATATACTGGTGATCATGTAATGAATAGAAAAGAGATGGAATGCAATGTTCAATCCATTAACCGCCAAAGCAAAAATAGATTGGACTGTCTTCAAGACCGAAGAACAGTTGGTGTTAGGAAGGTGGATAGTGATGTTTTGTTCTCAGTTAACTCTCCAGTGAAACAGAAGACTGGAATTCATGCAGGAGTTGCTAAAAGAAGGGTTCAAAATGATTCAAGTCACGGGAGCACTTCACAAAAATCTGCTTTAAATGAAAATGATGAAAATTCAAGGTTTAAGAAACCATTTCCTTTGAGTGGAGATGCATTAGGTGCACTTTTGGAACAAAAGTTGCAGGAATTGAATCTCCAAGGAGAGGATGAGATGGGAGTAAGTGGGAATTCTCCCCGAAAGACGACAGCTAATATTCTCCAGGAGTTAATTTCTGCCTTAACATCAGAAAGACCATTTCACCAGGATAAATCAGCTGCTACATCTAATGGGAAAAGTGATTCCCATCATTGTGGTTCTATGTCCAACTCAAAAACATTAGCCAATTACCAGGTCAGCCAATTTCATTCTATTTGATGGCAACTAACTTATCGAGCATTAAGGATGTTTGAATGTCTATTATACTCAGTGAGATTCAAAGCCTGTTAGATTGAAATAGGGATCGACAGATTCTCAGTGGTCTGAAGTATATGTAAATCAAATTGCATCTTTCATTGGTACATCTCCTGCATAAATGTCAATGACCTTCGAAAAATTAGACACTGAGCCCGAGAGCTTGCCTTATGACTAGGAGCTTCTTTCTCACACAAGGCATTCTGTTCGAAAGAGTCAGTATAGTTTATCGATCACAATTTGCTTGGTGAAATTTGTTTCTTCCCTCCACCCTTAAACCAAAAATCCCTCATCAGCAATTTTAATGTCAGAATAAGAAAAAATATGCTTGTGCAATAAACTACGCACTTTTTTGTTAATCCAAATGTTATCAGATTTTTTTAGGTGAATTTGGGGTTCAACTAAGTGAAAATTTCTTGGTCTATTGTCATTTACAATTAGTTTGAGAATCTGCTAAAAAACATTTTTTTACTGATTGACATGGCAAACCTTGTCTCTACTTTGAAAGTTATCGCTATAAAAATGTAAATAACACGACCTTATTATTCATTACAAGTGGATTTGGAGCATTTCTGTTGTGACTAGTTTTGCATTTGGGTTCATCGAGCCACTCACATTTTAAAAATTAGCTTATATCGTGCAATCGTGCTTTTGCCCTTTTAGCCTTTTTGCTCTTATGATGTGGTATAGATTTTATTGCCATGTTAGTTTTATTTGGCATGATAGATGATATTGGAATCCTAAATAATCAATTTGATATATCTCCTTAGGCTAAAGCAAAGATAGCCAAGTTATTAGTTGACTGCCCGCCTGATAGTGAACACCTTAGCCCAGGATCTGTTCTTGGGGCTTCTTTTTCCAATGAGAGTTGTCTCTCCAGCAGTATGGATGACAGCTCGGGTAAGCATCTTTATTTTGATTTTGTTGCTTGTGATGACAAAAAGTCCCCTTTTTTGAACTTATAATTAATGTTACTGTCCATATTTTCTGATATTGGCTTCTATTTTCAGGGTATAAAATGCTCACTGAAACTTTGGATTACTCCTATGATGATCCACTGTCCCTTGGTCATGACACAGACCTTTCAGATTCTGCAACCTCAGGAAAGATAGTAAAGAGTAGTAGAGAGTACATAATTGATATCCACAATAATATTTCGGAAGTTTTAAGCTGTATTGAACTTGCTGATGGTGGTTTGAAAGAAAGCACGCTCAACCATGCAAAGAAGGTCGTTCTGAATGCTGAGTTGGTGTCTGGAAATGCGACTCTCACCAGATCAGTTTCAAGGCAAGGTTTTTCAATTAAATACTTATTCCTCAACCAACTTGAAACACTTGCAAGTGTTCTCCAGATGAATATCGATTGCTTTCATAACATTGAGAATGGCAAAGAGGTGAATCTACTGAGAAGATTTGCTTTTGATTCTGTCATAGAGTATCTGGACTCAAGATTGGATCAATATGCTAAATCTGGGTTTAAACTCTCGACAAAAATGCCATTTAGTGTGAACACCGAGATGTTGATTTTTGATATTGTGGAGGAGGTCAGAAGGTGGGGAGAATCATCTGGTTTGATATATGATGAGTTGTTAGAGAAGGAAATGAGTGATTCATTAGGCCAATGGACAGATTTCGATATTGAAAAATATAAAATTGGCATTCAGATTGGCATGCACATATTCCAGATTTTGGTTGATGAGATTGTTGTAGAACTTTGGAACTGCAAGCCGAATTCCTCTTTGATTGCACAGGGCTTTAACTAATTTTCTCAGAGGTCCCTGTAACTGTGCAGCATTCTGCCACCACTACCTGCAGTTAAAGGGAATGTGGTGCCTTTTGTACAAGCTGATGTATTTCATGGTTGCTGTTGTTAACAGACTGTGTCTCCAAGTTCCCATTCTTTTGTTTCCTCTTCTATTCTTCCTTTTCTAGACAAAAATGGGGCAATTTAGGTGCTTAGATGTTTCAGTAAACTTAGCAATGAATGATCTCGAAATTACTGTGAAGAAGTTAGTATGTTGTTACAAAAACAAGAAATTACTACAGTAATCTATATTGCTAAATATGATTAATAGCAGAAAACTCTCCTATAAACGTTTTCATTTGCGATATACCCATTTTTTTATTGGAAATCCAAGAAAACCTTTTTATTTGAAGTCTTTTGTGCGAAAAACTCTCGTTTAGCAATGAATATTCATGTGCTTGATCTCGAAATTAGCGTGAAGAAGTTAGTTTGTTGTTTTACAAAAACAAGAAATTAAAGTGTAATCTTTTCCAAAATTGGGAAGAGGGTTTTAAAGTATAATCTTGAGAATGAGAAGAAATGAGGAATTTGGGGTGAGGGATTTAGAAGGTTTTGGAAGAGATTAAATAAAATAATAAAGTTTTGAGGAAGAAGATGAAGTGAAATGAGGTGGAAAATAAAGTTTTAAGAGTTTGAGATCGTGGATGGTACATAAAAAAAAATTTGGGTATAATTTGTAAAAGAATAAAAAGTTTGACATTTTTACTGTTTTTAATGGCAAATTTGACGGTAATAGGTATTTTTTGCACAAAAGTTTTCAAATAGAGGGATTTTTTACGATTTTCACTAGATAGAGATATATTGTTAAGAATTTAGGGTGTCATCTTAAAATGTCAACCTTATTAAGAGGAGTAATCCAATTTTTTATAAGTTGGTTTATATTTACATCTTTATTCGAAGTGGAATTCTATCCCTTAACATGCCCCGCAAGATGATGGCTCGTTCCAGACCAATCTTGAAATTCGTATGCTCACTTTTGGAATCTTAACCGGATCGAATTATTCGTTAGAACTTATTGGGCTCTGATATCATATTAAGAATTTGAGGTTACATCTTAGAATGTCAATCATATTAAGAGGAGTAATACAATCCTTTAAAAGATGATTTATGTTTACATTTTTATTCGATGTGTGATTCTATCCCTTAACATATATTACATATGAAAACGTTTTCTAGATTTTTTGCTATTAATCCATGCTAAAAACACAGAGGAGGCTATAGAAGAAAAGAGATTCAAGTTCAACTGTTCAATTCTTAATCAAAATTCACAAACAGAACACATTCCACGCTCTGTACAAAATTAATACCTAAAACAGAAATTCTCAAGCCAAAGCTCTAGAGCAATGGAATTAAAAAATAAAGATTCAAATACTAAAAATTAAACCAAAGAAAGTCGATCAATCAATTGAGAGAAATATCAGTAAGAAAGTCCTAATTTCCAAACTCAAAACTGTCTATGCCCAAAAAGAGTCCTACCAATTCTCCCTCCCCTGTTTCCTTCATCGATAATATTATTAGCAGCAGCACCCAACCCCTTCAATTCCTCCATACTCGCATGGCTCTTCCTAGTCATAATTCCACCACTCCTCTTCTCACCGGAATTCACCGACTTACTCCCTCCTCCCAATTTCCCATAAAGCCTCCCACTCTTTGGCCACGGTGGAGGTGTCAACGACTTCTCCGCCACCGGAGGAAGCATCGATGCCGGTTTCCGGTTCTCCTTCCGCAAAGCAGACGAAAAATCGGGCACAGATTGAGTCAAAATAGAAGACCCTTTTGTCCTTGGTGGTGTAGTGAAATTCGACTTTCCCTGGAATTTCACCTGCTTCTTTGGCGGGGTCAGAACTGGTTCTTCTTTTCTAGGAATATTCGGCTCCATCACGCCACCCTTTCTTAGCCTTTTTTCTCTGAGATCCGAGTATTCCTTATATCTGGGGCCTCTCTCCATGACGGGGCTCTCCGTTGTGAGTTGCAGGAACTGCGGTTGGTTAGAATCAGAAAACTGGGAGAGGAGCAGTGATTTGGAATCAAGAACGGTGTATTGTAGAATATGGTTTTGTTGAAGCAAAAATCCATTGATCTCTGCCATTGATGAAGAATTTTTGAAGCTTTTCAGTTTGAATTTCTTGAAAAAAATTTCAAGATTCTTTAAAGTAGTGGTGTTCTTAAAAGTTTTTGAGTTTCCAACGGTCTAATCTTTACGGTAAAAGTGGCGAGGAGAAAATTAGAAGAAAATTTCCAACGTTCCCATTTATTGTTTAAAGTGGGTCCCACTGAATCATTAATAGACGTAGGATTAAAAATTTAACAAACAATCATCGTGCTGGGATTTTTGGTTTAATGATTAATAGACGTAGGATTTTGTGGGGGTAAAATTAAGGGTGTGTTTGTCTATCATTATTGGGAGAAAAATAAAGTAATGAATAGTATTTTTTGGAGAATGTTTGATTGAAATTTAAAGTAACTTTATTAGTTTGTGTGTAGAATATTTTATTGAGTGGATGTGTGGTGGAGAATCTTACTGTAACAATTTTTTTTTTGAAATAATGGTAGACAAACAGAAGTTAAGTATTAAATATAAGGAGCATATTGATGAACTTAAAAAATTTTAATTTTTAAATTTATGGATATGCTTTTAAATTGTAAAATATGCTTTTTAAAAATAAAAAATCTTTTGAAAATGCTTTAATTGCCCAAATTTTAAAAAGCCACTTAAAAAAATTTGTAGCCATTAAGTATTAGGATCTTACTATACGTAAAGATTTACGTAATGAAATACATAATGCTACATGACACTCTACCATTTATCAGTTTAACATACAATCAACTTTTTTATTCAATATTTTCTCTCTACGTTATTTTATGCAATCTATTATGTATCATTTTTATGTACAAGTAACATAATCCTAAGTATTAACCTTCCAATTTTCCCATTCTTTTTTTCAATTAGGCGATGACTACTTCAGAGAGGACGATGTTAATTTTTTATTTTTTAAGGTGCCGCTCGGTTGGCTGTATGGCATGAGGAATCATATAAGCTTAGTGCCTTCAAATTAAGTGGTTATGCTATGATAAAAATTGCCGTTGCCGACAAACTCAGAAAAGCCAGTGTGCATGATGCAAAGACAAATTTAGAAAAGTAGGACGGCTATTTTGGGCTTTTACATATGGCTAATACCGAGCCAACCAACTTCCAAGTCTTCATTTTTTAAACGCACGCATTAAAAATCAAGTTCAATACACTTTTAAGAGGTGAAAAATGAAAATCTAATTATTATTTATCCTCGGAACTCAAAATTTTATTAGGAATAAACTTCAAACTCGTAGAGTATGTTTTGGTGCTAGATTGCTTCGTACTTGACAAGATTAAATATACAATACAAGTGTTCAATATTATGTACCAAACATGAAAGCAGAACTTACAATTTTGAGTGACTGCAAGAATGTAGGAGCATTCACGATCCAGATAGTTTTTAATATCTCTCAAGTTTAATAATAAGCCTCTAAAATTCTATTCAAATCCATAAATTCACGAGAATCCATTAAAATCTGAGATGAGGGCCCACATAAACCGATGACAAAATCGTTTCAGTTAAAATCGAGAAATTCTTTGAAAATGAGGTAAATATAAGTTAAAATGAATCCATATACTTCAAGAATGAGGGCGCCAGGGAACATGGCGGAGGTTAAGGGGGAGGGGAAGCAATGAAGTCATGAGATTTGATTTCAAGTTGCGATCACTCAATCTCTCCTTTTTCTTTCAAATTAGCGATAATAATACTCATTTCATTAATAATACAGCCAATTAGCAATGAAGCCTATATAATGTGGTCATGTATACACTCTCTGTTACCTTCAACTGAAGTCAAACTTTGTTGTACTTGTACTTCTGCCCAAGATTAAATCTAGTAATTCTACTGCTAAATCCTTCTAGTACAAGCGTTCTCACAGCCTCAACCCCTTGTTCCATAGCAGCATCCACCTGCACATACAGCCGATAAAAGTTGGACCTTTCAGCACGCCCAATTGATCTAAACTGAACACAACAGCTACCCAGGAAATGATAATATAAGTGGTGTTTCCTAAAGGATTAGAAATCCATATATCTTCACTTCCCTTGCATTACAAGTACTTCACTTTAAAATATTCTAGGCTCATGCCTTCTAAAGGATTAAAGACCTTGGTTTCATTTCCTTCCTTTACAAGTGCCTTAAATAATCCTGGCTCATACCCATAATGGAATTGGAAACTTCTATGCAGAAGAAAGTTTAATGAAAAGTTAGTGACCCAAACCATGCGTGTGGATATAGGTGTGTGCCGCTTTGGTGTACTATAAAATGACCAACATAAACTTACTAAACGGTCAAAATGATCCACTAGAACCATTTTTCCAATGTTCTCTGCAAGCTGAATTTAAAACACGGTACCTGTTCTCTCTCTATTGCACTGAATTTCTGAAGAAGATAAGCCTTCATGTCCATGGCACCAGGTGGATTCCCAATGCCTGCGATATTAGATGAATTTAAGCTTGAGTTTGATATTGAGAAATATAATACTACAACCAGGTAAGGCGATTAAGGAACAGACCTATGCAAAAGCGTGGAAATTCACGTCGACCTTCTAAGTGCTCCATGACACTCTTCACTCTGTGATTCCAAAGAACAAAGGAAGAAAAGGAGGTTCATTAACAATTCTATGTTTTTCACATGAGTTTCTCTTGCATCGCGCAGATAAGTATTGAGAAAAATTGGCATATGATGGCTAGAACTTGGACAACACCACTCAAAATTAATGCAAGGGAAATACACTATCATAAATTATTCAACCAATGTTTAGGAGTAATATTATATAGCACCACCGGTATTAAAACCGGTCTTTGTTGCATTAAATGATAAGTTAAATTAAATGATAATGCTGTGTAGCATTATTCTTTAGATGAAAGCATACAAGAACAAGGACTGACTAGAAAGAAACTGGTAGAAGCAAAAATGTGGCTCGTAATCACAGTCCTAACTCCTAAAAAGGTCTTTGCACAAGCATATCTGTTTTATAACAAAAGTTTAACCTCAATCCAAGTCATTTGAGTTCCAATACAAATTTATCCGTGCAGACATTATTTTTCTTCTCTTTCGCACAAAAAGATAAGCTAGAAGGAATTATAAATACTTTCAACGTAAAAACTATATGTAGACGATGAAAAAAAAGAACTACAAAAGAAAGTCATCTCAAAATGCACATTTGGCCAGTTGGCTCACCTATCATAATGGCACTCAATATTCCTTTTTCTTTTTATCACATAGCTTATTTCGATGTCAAAATGTCAGAAAGCAAGGATTGGATTGTTAGCTGCATTTACAGGGATAAGAGGATTTTTTCCACTTTGACAAATATATATCCACTGAACATGAAGAAATATTAAGTAGTCATCTTAAACTTGGGAATAAATACTGTAAAGAATGCGGACCACAATTTTGGAGGAGGGGGAACTACAAGTTTTTAAATGAATTCAAAGATTGCAAAAAAAAAATCCTCCTGTGGCCATTACACAGCTTCTGTAGTGAGAGGACACAAGCACTCACACACATTTATAAGATTGAAATTGTGGTTGGTTATCTGTCCTCTATGTCCACTAAAAACATGAAAAAAGATCATAATCAGATGGGAGAAACTTAGAAACACATCATATTCCCTACATCAATTAAAGGGCTAGCATCGTGCAATTCAAAAATTGAATATCATTTTCAGTCCATCATCAGGCTAAGTAATACCCATTGTGATGGCCATGTCCTCCTTTAGGCTGAAGCCTCAAAACACCATTTGGTAGGCTCATCTCATCATACACCTGCAAGGAACATTTCAGAAGTCATAGATATATCCAAATTCACAAAAAAAGTATTGTTTGAATACTGAAAAGTGATTATTTTAAGGTATTTTCATCACTCAAAAAATTATATTAAAAGGTAAATGGTAATTTTGGAACGAAAAACTATTGCTGACCAGGAGGATGTGACGCAAAGGTACTTGATAATATGCAGCAAGTGGCCCAACCTGGAAATATGTAGAAGAGACAGATGATATCATTTACAGTTAATTTTTGGCCAAGGAAGCTTATATGTGTCATCGAAGAGGACCACTGTACACAGAGTGTACTAAGAGATAACCACTGAGAAAGAAGAAGATATACATATCACATGGTTTGCAATGTTTATGATGCCTAGTAATATTTGATTGTCCAATAGAACATTACAAGGTATTATAAACTGCTCCCACAGAGCAAGAAATGCATGGTATGTAGAAAGCATAATTTAATTCACAATCTCAAGAAATCTCTGAAAGAGCAAACATTCATGTCAACTGCAGTGATCACTCATGTTTGTTTCATTGTAAATACAGAAGCATATTATTCGAAAATCACCAGACCTCAAATTTATTATTAAACCAAACGATCTTCCATTCCAAATCATTAATTCTTTGGAAACTCTAACATCAAAATGCTAATTCATATTCAAGAAATGCTCAAGTCTCTGTTTCACTGTTGAGGAGATCATATGTGAAATTATTTTATTACATTAGACATCACCACATCCTGATTTATCTACACCTTGGAAATGTCTAAATAGAGAAGAAATATGAGTTAAAGAAAACACTAAAATGCAAAAGAAATTCAAAATGACTAAAAGGTTCGGTGAAGCTGTAGACTCTAGTCAGAAAAAAAGAGTGCTTTATTTAGGAATTCATCCTTTTAGTAAAGAGAAAAGTATTGGTGGATTAAATGGTCTTGGACTACTATAAAGCAGACAAATAAATCCCATGCTGCTTAATTGCGTATTCAAAACATTAACAGAGTTCACGGCCTCCACAACCCGTCAGATAGGTAGATAGTATGAATGAATTGGTACAACATCTTATATCTTTCACCAGAATAGGCAGCCTTATTTCAATATGAGCTCTCACTTGCAGGATAAACATAACAATTTTCATGAAAATTCAATGCAGATTAGCAACATTTGTCATATGTTTATGTTATTGAGATGGATTTTTACACTACAGCAAACACGAAGAACTACTTCTTTCAGTCGTACGAAATCA